AACAACTATACAAATCCTGTAAGGTACTAACTGTAAGGCAACTATACATAACGTAAGTAATATTGAAGCAACACACGCAGATCCCTTATGATACCAACACTGTAAAGAAGAGACGAAATGATATAGTTTGCAGTTCGCACTCGACCTCAAAATTTATGTAGGTACAGTAATAAATTCTATAGTTTTCTAGGACCCTACTTATATAATAGGCTAAATAAGCAACTTTGTATTTCCAACTTGAATTGCTATCAATGCAAAAAAACGTGTCAGCACATATTTGCAACAACTGACTTATGACCAGACCGAATTTTTGCTGACTGTATGTAAATAAAATTAGAAACAAGTTAATTTATTAAGTGATTAGGTATACATTTCTATATATAGGTAAAATTTGACTAATCAAATAATTTAATATAAGAATGTCCGTCCCCATGTTATCGCAATCTCTCTCTCTTTCTCCCTCTCTCCCGTTCGCTAGTTGCCCCGCTCTCTTTCTCACTTCTCTCTCTCTCGATCGCCAGTTGACCGATAGCTGTCGCGCGGGAAGGGTGTGGCCCTCAGTGTCGTTCAGTGTTGTGTCCGATTAATCGCACGCGCCATTTTTTATTGTTTGTATTCAATAATGCCGTTTACCTACAGTAACCGCAAGACGTGTTAATGTGGTACATTAGAAGTGGCGAAAATATATCTGCAGCTCGTACTACGTACCAGGAACTATATGGTGCTTAACGACGAGTACCGGCTTTACAGATAATACTGGGAGCTTACCAGCGTTTACTGGATTATGGTCAGTTTCGTCCTCCCCAAACAGATGCCGCAGGCCGCGGCTTGCCGGAGATATTGAAGAACGAGTTCTCGACTACTTCCACGAGAATCAGGTCGTAGGTCGTGACTTACTAATAAGTCACGTTATCGCATGAAACATGCTCCGTGAAGAAGGCCAGGCCGGCCCACTACCACAGAGCAGCTCGCGAGTATTTAGATGTTACCTATTCACGCGACCACAAAGCCTGTGGTACAGATTTAATTCTATACAGGCATTATATTGTAACCTACCTAGAATAGTTAAATAATAAGCTTTGATTAAGTACATATATGTGAACAAAATGGAAATAAATATATTTGTTTGTTTGTTGTTTGTTTGTATTCAAATCGCTGAATAGACCGTGGTGGACCGATTGCATGGCCACCTCGATCACCTGACCTCATTCCCATAGATTTCTATCTTTGGGGTCGTGTTAAGGACTTAGTGTACGGCCACAGTGGTAGTGAGATTAGAAACGCGGACGAATTGAAAATACGCATAATAAATGCGTTTGGTATTATTAAAAGTGACAGACACATTATTGCGAGTGAAAAACAACGTAATACGTCGCGTCGTACAAACTTGTGCATCAAACAAGGTGGAAGACACTTCCAGCAAAGGTAGACTCTTTGCTAATACTTAAGTATCTAGAGACGGGCATTTATTCCGATGAATACTCCTAAATGATAAATACCTAAGTAACTACCAACTACCTAGTACTAGTACTACTAACTACCGAAGTATTGGTTTTTGGTCGAGTTATTATTAGTATTAACCTATTCAAAAAATTGACATAATTAATCATTGTAGCTATGGTAATTTAATAATAAGCATATCAATTCAGTTAAATAACATAATCTAAACCGAGTCGCGTGGTCGTTTATTATGAAAAATGAAACATTATTAAGTTCAGTAGTAACATAAGAGCGCGGTACCACGACACCTGCGTCAGCGCGGTCGCGCGGGGCTTCGTCGACGGCCTAGTACGCCGTACGGCGCGCATATTAGGCTGTTTACGTGTAACACAAATAGTGGAATAACTTTAGAACGGTAGCTTTTTTTAAAATTATTTTTTCGTGATTAATTATGGAATAAATGTTTCAAGAAAACCTTAGATTTCCTGCAGCTTTTTTTAACACCTTATATCAGGGGTTCCCAAAGTGTGCGCCGCGGCGCCCTAGTGCGCCGTAGAAAGTAAAGAGCGGCGCCGTAAGTGAATTCTCTAATTATTGAACACTACAAATGTTGGCGGATACTTTTTTGATCAATGTGGAGCAAGAAATGAGAGTACGAGTGTGAAGGCTTTTCCCCCCTTAAAAAAACCGTGCGGACTAAATCACTAAGCTCACCCTTCACATTGATTTGACTGACTAAATATCGTATTTAATTTTTTGCTTTTTCTTAAGGGTGTGTTGTTTTCCATTTAAATAATTTTATAATAAAAAAGTCAATTTGATATTGTGGTGTTTTAATCTTCGTTACGATCAACCCCTACTTTATTGTAAGTACCTATTTCTTTCGACTGTTTTCCTCAAATAGTTAGCTAGGATAGGGCGCCGTCAAAATATTCAACTTGTAACTGCGCCGCGGGTTACAATAGATTGGGAACCCCTGCCTTATATAGTAACATATTAACTATCTTATAATATACTTGGCACGAATGGGTCGGCTCGATCAGAGTTACGGTCTCATAGAAAACCGACGTTTGCTTCACGTCACGCTTGCGTTGTCTTTCGTCGTGTGAGTGAGGTTTCCGGAGGCCCAATTACCCCCTCCCCTTCCCCAATCTCCCCGATCCCTGAATCCCTAACGATCCTCAAACTCCTAATCCCCAAAAAGCCGATAAAGCATTTGTAACGCCCTGGTGTTCCAGGTGTCCATGGGCGACGCCGATTACTTACTATCAGGTGATCCGTCAGCTCGTTTACCGGCTTATGCCATAAAAAAATCTATTATGTCGGTCGTATAATACAAAGACACTGAAAATCAAAGATAGGGAATGTAAAATTTATAGTGGTTATTTTAAGTTATGGTTGTAGTAGATATAGTATTATCGTATTTTAATATATGGGCCTTCGATGCCTGATACAAATAAACATGTAAATAAATATAAAAAATTACATGACACAACATAACGTCACGCCTTTTATCCCCAAAGGGGTAGGCAGAGGCGCACATTACGGCACTTAATGCCACTTAACAATGGAACACCCACTTTGCACTATTTATGTTATGAGTTCCATGTAATAGGGGGTGAGCCTATTGCCATATACCGGGCACATTTCCAGACTCCGTGCTATAACTGAGTTTTCTTAAAATACCCAGTAATACTTTGCCCGACCCGGGAATCGAACCTGTGACCCCTTGTCCTGCAATCACACTTGCGACCACTCGGCCTAACGAGTCAGTCGTATGAAAAAAAAACAAGTTTTATTTTCAAAAAAGTAAGGAATTTATTTATATTTCTTTTACGTAACAATAGTTGTTAAGAACTGCTCAAGGCTAATATTGCTTGAATTATAACATACCATCACGCCTTTTACCCCCGAAGGGGTAGGCAGAGGTGCACACACAC